AGCCACTGCTCAATTGAAAGCTATAGTTGTGGAAAATCACCAAATGAACCATCATTGTATCATTGGTTGTGATTTCCTGCAATTGCCCAATATTCTCTGGTATAAACTTGGCCAAACCATGATCATCAAAGAATTAACAGAACTTAAGTTATACTCAGAATTGACCTGTTGTGAAGTAACTGGGAAAAATGATATAATTACGATTGGTAGTATCTCGAAAAAGGATAAAAACAAATGTCAGATGCTGCTCGAAGAATATAACGACAGAATAACCACTTCTATGGCGACATTAGGTAAAACAGATTCTGCAAAAATGGTGATTAATTGCTTAACGGAGGACCCAATTGTTTACAACCCATATCGAATGTCAGTGTCGGAAAAGAAAATACTTCAAGAAATTTGTGAAGAATTGTTGCAAAATGACATAATCAGAGAATCTGATTCACCATATGCGAGCCCTGTGCTCTTAGTGAAAAAGAAAACTGAAGATTATCGTATGGTAGTGGACTACCGCAAACTAAATGCAGTGACAATTAAAATGAAGTATCCACTGCCAGTCATTGACGAGCAAATAGACAAGCTAGGAAACAACAAATATTTTACGGCACTAGATTTGGCATCAGGATATTATCAAGTCCCCGTAGATGAAGGCTCCATTGCAAAAACGGCCTTCATAACTCCCGATTCTCATTACGAATTTTTGAGAATGCCATTCGGGCTTTGTAATTCAGCAGCAATTTTTCAAAAGTTGATGAATAATGTACTTGGCAAGCTTAAAAACTCAGTAGCATTTCCGTATATAGACGATATAATAATTCCCTCAAAAACAGTTGAAGAAGGATTAGCCAATCTAAAACAGGTGTTGGAAGCACTAAGACGGGGAAATTTGACTCTCAAACTGAAAAAATGCAAGTTCTTCCAAACTGCGATAAGTTACCTAGGTCGAGAAATATCAGAAGAAGGTGTGCGACCTGGGCGAGAAAAAATCGAAGCTGTGTTAAGAATTCAACCAGCTCAAAACGTGAAACAAGTTCGGCAGTTTATAGGACTAGCAGGATATTTCCGAAAATTTTGTAAGGATTTCGCAAAGGTATCACAACCTCTCACGATGCTCACAAGAAAAGATGCAGCCTGGCATTGGGGAGAGCAACAACAAAATGCTTTCGATGCCATAAAAAATATGCTAGTATCCAGACCCATATTAAATATCTTTGATCCAGAATTGTTGACAGAACTTCATACTGACGCTAGTTCTGACGGATTCGGTGCAGTACTAATGCAGATAAAAAATGGAATCGCTCACGTAGTTGCTTACTACAGTCGCCAAACGACTATAGATCAGAAGCACTACCATTCATATGAGTTGGAGACAATGGCTGTCGTCTATGCCCTAAAACATTTTAGAACTTATCTTGTAGGACTCCACTTCACAGTCATCACGGATTGCAATGCCTTGAGAACAGCACTCTCCAAAAGGGACTTGATTCCCAGGGTTGCTAGATGGTGGTTAGAAGTTCAGGATTACGATTTTGAAATCAGATATAGACAAGGAGCCCAAATGAGTCATGCAGATGCCTTGAGTAGATACGTAAATATGGAAGTTAATATCGTGGATATAACGGAAGGTGACTGGATTGTAAGCGCTCAGTTACAAGACGAACAAGTTGATAGAATTTGGAAAATACTAAGATCTGGATTGAAAAACAAAGCCAATAAGAAATATTTTGAAGAGTATGAACTGAAGGATGGTATAGTCTTCCGCAAACTTCCTACGGGTGAAAAACTATGGGTAGTACCTAAGACAGCGCGCTGGCAAATCTGTATACTGTGTCATGACAAGAACGGACATGGTGGAATCGATCAGACTGTCCGAAGGATAAAAGAAAATTATTGGTTCCCAAAAATGCGTCGGTTTGTTACCAAATATGTTCGAGCGTGCCTAAACTGTTCATATTATAAAAACACTAGTAATAAAAATCAAGGACGATTGCACCCCATAGAGAAGATACCGGTGCCCTTTCACACCATACATGTTGACCATCTGGGTCCTTTCGAAACAAGCGTCAAAGGTAACAAATACTTGGCAGTTTTCGTGGATGGGTTCACGAAATACGCCATTGTGGAACCAGTAAAATCAACAAAGGTGAAATTCGTTGTGAGAAGTTTGGAAAATATTATGTGTATATTTGGTTCTCCAAGTCGCATAATAAGTGATAGAGGGAGCGCGTTTACATCCAAGACGTTCAAGTTGTTTTGCGAAAACTATGGTATCAAGCACGTGTTGAATGCTGTAGCGTGTCCTAGAGCAAATGGACAGTGCGAGAGATACAATAGAACCATCTTGAATATGTTGGCTACGATGAGTATGGAAACTAGCAGTGATTTATGGGATACGCACGTAAAACGAATCCAGAGCGCCATGAATAGTGCGCATAATAAAGGGATTAATACGACTCCCGCAAAACTTCTATTTGGTTACCAGCCCAAGAGTACAGTGGAAGCGTCGTTGCTAAATTCGATCGCAAATGAGTTTCACCGACTAGACCTTGAAGAATTAAGGGAAAAAGTCAAAGATCACATAACGATTGATCAAAGAAAACAGAAAAAGAGGTATGATGAAACTAGGAAAAGTGTGAAAAAGTATAAAGTTGGAGAATTGGTCTTGATAAAGATATCTAGCGATCCGAGTACCGGAAGTAGCCGAAAACTGAACGCCAAATTCAAGGGCCCGTTCAGAGTTACGAAGGAGCTATTTAACGATCGCTATGAAGTTGAAGACCTCAGAGAAGGTGGTAGGAAAAGGCGAACTACCGTGGCTACGGATTTGATGAAGCATTGGGTAGCTGTTCAATATGATTAGTGAAAGAGTAGAAGACGTTCTTCTTCTACTCCCAAGTATGTTTATGTAAGTTAGTTTAAAAAATGGGTTGCCGCCCAGCCGGAAGGAGTTGTCGCTCCATAAAAATGAGTTGTAGCTCAACCGGTATAGAGTTGTCGCTCTGTGAAATGAAGATTGGGTTGCCGCCCAGCCGGAAGGAGTTGTAGCTCCATAAAAATGAGTTGTAGCTCAGCCGGTATAGAGTTGTCGCTCTGAGAGTCGAGAATCGGGTTGTCGCCCATACTTGTTGGGAGTTGTAGCTCCCTGAAGAAGAGTTGTCGCTCTGGGAAGGTGCAAATGGGTTGTCGCCCATACGTGAGGAGTTGTAGCTCTATGGACTTGAGTTGTCGCTCCAAAGATGAGTAGTCGCTCTGTATGTGAAGTGGGGACTGTTGTCCCATTGATAGATGTATTGCCCCCAGTTGTAAAACCATTGCAACCATGGTGATGAGAATTTTTTATTGTGTAGTAAAAAAAAAAAGTTAGATTTATAGTATTAGCTTATCAAACCTAGAATAATTAGTGTTTAGAAATATTGTGTTGGTTGAGGACAACCACTAAGTTTAGGATGGCCGAATGTAAGATTTTATTTAATTGAACGAAATCTTTATATTGTATAACGAACAAGTTGGCTCCTTGGAAAGAAAAGTTCAGTTCCGAAAGCCCAAGAATGTCAAACAAAGGGTGCAATAAAATGGGCAGTAAGAGAACAATTGCAGGCGGCGGGGAGAGAGTTTTGCTTTCGAAGGGGTCGGTTTGACGCAGGTAGTCTAGTACCCTTTTCGGTTGGAGGTAGATGTGGTTCGAATATTGTGCTATTAAATCGAGAGAGTATTTTTCCTTACGCAATTGGCTTTTATTTATTTTGAATTAAATAAACATTACTAAAAACTTACACCTGTAATAGCAACAGCAAAGATCCTTATTTTGAGTGCGAACAGTCAACGTAAGTCGATGCGTTTACGGATGCGTATACGGATACGTAGAAAAATTTAGGATTTGCTTAAAGTGTTTACTTTTTGAGGTTAGAAAACGTTTCATCCGAGGATAAGATCGTTTACGTAATGTATGACCATGCTAAAAAGACTTTTAGACGGTCAACGTAAGTCGATGCGTTTACGGATGCGGATACGGATCCGTAGAAAAATTCAGGGTTTGCTTAAAGTGTCTAATAACGCGTTGATGATGGCTTTAGAAAATCGAAACGTCGAATTTGTAAAATAATATCACCACAATAAAGTCCACTCAAAAGTGCTTCAAGAAAGTTATCTTGATTTTTCTCGATCTCTTGAAATAAATCTAGGAATAAATAAAAACCAGAGTAGCAATTTTCCGGATATTTCCGGAAGTATTCGGAATTTCGTTAATTTCAAAATCGCATTATGTTAAGCATCAAAATGCGCAACTGTCATTGTTGATGCAATGATTTCGCGTTAACTTTTTTGTGGGTCAAATTCGACCCTGTATAATAGAGGCATGCATTCTGCGTTCCATATATCGCTGAGGGCATAGAAGCGCATCGCGCGCCTCCTAGAAATACCTAGCGAAAAAGGTAGGACAGTCAATTATTTGTCAGTACCATCGATACGTCAGATTGGTTTTGGTGCGAACCCACTCCATTTCAGCGGTTCCTTTCGCAAAAGATTTTCGCGACCGTTGAGCTTATCGTCCATTTTTCGCCGTTTAACAATTGATCGTGTGCTTAAGCCTTCCAGGGGCGCCCCCAAGTTATAAGAACACAGAAGCCAAATTGGGTAAGCGACAAACAACCTCACTTCATTTCTTATTTTTTTCGTGTAATAAGGACGCAATATTCGCTATACAGTCCACTAATAATTCAACCGTATTAATTGCATCCTCAGTCATAATTTAACCAACTCCGTATCTCTTGCGGTTTCCGAGATCCCAAAAGAGAAAAGAAGACACCAAGTTGACCAAGTGTCATAACATTATTATCAATAACGATGTCTATCTGATACAGGATGCCGCCTCTGAAAGGAGTTTAGAGCGAGGTAGGTGTAGAAATTTACACTGTTTTCATTATTTTACTCAAGAGCATTTTAATTTGTGCTTGAGCATCTCTGAGCATAAGTAATACTAGAAAATCAGATAAGTTTATTAATTAAAATTGTACAGTAGAGCAGGTATAATATAATCCAAAAATAATTATGGTGATTACGATAGAGCCAGAGTAAGCGGTAGTAGAAGAGTTCTTCTCCATGATCTTGTCGATAAAATCCAAATAATGCTCTACTTTAGCATTGATAGTGGTGGTCTCCAGTTTCTCATAGTAGTAACCGATAATACCAACCTGGACTTCATGGCATAATATTGGCCCTCCAAAGTCGGTAACGCCTGGGTGACTATCGGCCTGTTTGAGTTCGAAGCATAAATAACTATCTTCATTATCCTCGGGAACTATCACTTTCGTTGGTCTCACTTTCAGCGCCCGAAACTTTTCTTTGCACTGTTCATTAGAAATTAGTGTAACAAAACTACAATAGAGAACATTTGGAACCTCTATGGATAATGATGGGAGAATGTTCCAGGAACTAGATTTTGTGAGTCCATATCCCATGATTTCAACTGTTTTGCAATGTAGAGTAAAATTGCTGACATCATACTGTTGCCGATCGACAAGAGGTGCAAATTTGATGTTGCCATCACTTTCATCTAATGATTCTGACAATTTCAGTAGGGCAATTGAGTTTGATGGATCAGTAAAATTTTCCTTGACGTTAGCCCTTAGAGGATTCTCTTGATCAGCTAATGCTACTATCCTACCATGGTGATATTGACTCATATAACCAGTAACGACAGCTGAAGTTAGTACAAATTGTGGTGCAATCAACGTTCCTGCACCCATGCAATAGAATGTATTGCTTTTTTCCGACTCCACTTTAACAACATATGGATACTGGCCTGTCTTACATACATGTGAATCCTTTAAACGCTCTTCAGGACTTTCATTCTCATCAGGACCGGAGGCCGACAACGTAGGCTCTTCCGTACTTTCAATCTCATTAGGACTGGAGGCCGACAACGTCTGCTCTTCCGTACTTTTAATCTCGTTAGGACTGGAGGCCGACAACGTATGCTCTTCTGGACTTTTAGTCTCATTAGGACTGGAGGCCGACAACGTATAATGACATGAAACTAAGAATATCAGTTGCAGATATTGCTTTATCATTTTTAGTTTTTGACAGATTTGACTGTAAACTTGACGGTAGGCATTTAGACGAATGGTGGGAATCGGAAACAACAGAAATGTGCATAGGAAACTGTAATTGATTGAAAAGCTTGCGTTCGGTATTTTGCTTAAAGAGCTGGGCGTGCTGAAGCGGAACCGTAATCACGTGACGCACAGAGCAGTTAAAGCTGTATCAGATCAGTTTGATCAAATAAACGATAGCGAATGAGCCTGCACCGAGCACACTTTTCAAATACACAAACGGTGAATTCAAGCTCGGAGAAATCAGCTCAAAATACCGAACGCAGTTAGATAGGTATAAGCGACAAGTCGATGTCAAAATTTTTAAAAACGAGTCGCTAAGTCAAATTTGATTATATCATAAGCGTCGGCATAATTTTTCGAATTTATCCAAAATATTTATAATTTAACCATGACTCGTTTTACTCTAGAAATTGCCTATTTTATTTTTAGAAATTAATTAAAATTGTCCATGCTCCATGCCCATTGAAAAAAAAAAACCACAAGCCCGGTAGGTATAATTTTCGCGAATACTGGTATGATCTCCTGTTTCACTTATAAAAAAGAAGTGTGAGGTCTGGATCTGGAAGGCAAGTAAGAGGTTCTAGAGTTAAGAAGTGACCCGAGGTAAGTACCGATAGGTCGTGGGGGTCATTACTTAACGGATGTAAAGGTCTGGATTTCAGAATAGACTCTACTTGACAAATTACCGTATATAATCTATATATATATAAACGTGAAATTCACTCACTCACTGACTGACTTAAACACGAAATCTCGAAAACTCCTAAACCAATCGAGTTGAAATTTTGCGAACATGTAGGTTATAGGTTGGAAATGCTCACTAAGAAATAATATCAACATGGCCTCAAGCAATCGCCTTAAATAACCAAAAATAAGAAACGGTGTGGTGCGGGAGTGCGGGGAAAAAAGTGTAAACAGATACAGACGACGTGTCAGCTGTTAAATTCAGAAATATGGCAAGCAGAATCAAATTCATAGCGATTTCCATTTGCAGAATCAGTGCAAAAAAAATGTGTTTTTGTCGTTATATTTTCATGCTTTCACCAGAAACGATTCGGAACCGATTCTGAACAAATTCCACCGGTCCCAGGCTAAGCTAACTTCAAGTTTGAGACATGACATTCGCACTTCGTTCACGTATTCGACAGTCTGGAGCAAGGTTCTGGAGTTTTTGTTCGATTCCAAAACTGTTCGCGATAAAATAGGAACCTGAACCCATTCACAAGTTGGGTTCGGGTTGCTCACTCCGAGTTACTCCGATTGCACTCCAGCCGTTATCTGATAAATAAGCTAAAAGGTAATACCCGAACGGCTGAAGTGCGAACGGAATCACTCGGAGTGCACGGCGTGAGCAAGCCGAACCCAGCTATAACTGGGCATGCGCTCTACGATAGTCCTCAATTAGTTCCGGACTGGTTCGGAATCGGTTCAAAATATGATCCGCTATTAGCAGCGAGTGGCACTTCAAAAAATTTACCGTCAGCTGTCAAAAAATAGTCTTCATATTCTGCAGCCACAAAGCAGAACAAAAAATGTGGTTTACAGAGAGGTGCTACAAAAATAAGAGTTACATGACCATATGTCTGACGCAGCTATCCCCTTATCTCTTTGAAAGAAGATTACCTAATGCTACCTACACCCTACACCTACAAAATTTGTATAGGGCATGCGAAGCCCCGGGCAACAGCTACACCATTTCCAACAGTATTTCAAAATCGGTCAAATGTATTTCAAAATAATCACTTTTATTTCAAAAATTGATATTTTAATTTCCAGTTTGTCACTTTTATTTCCAAATATGTCATTTGTATTTCAAATTAATCAAATGTATTTCAAACTATACCATTTATACTTCCAAAAAACTCAGATGTATTTCAAAATCATCATTTCTTATATCATAAAAAACTGTAAGGGAGGTACAGGGTGTCTGGTTATAATTTGATTTTTTTAACAGTAGGATATAAACACATACCTTATTTTTTAACCGAATTGATAATCTTTGAAATAAAACTGACCATTTTTGGAATACATTTCACTAATTTGAAATACATTTGATGTATTTCGAAATAAATTTGGTTATTTTGAAATACATTTGATATATTTTGGAATAAAATTCATAAAGATTGAAATCAAATTGATGCTTTTTGATATTCAATTGATGATTTTGAAATACATTTGATATTTTTTAAAATTAAAGTTGTTGTTTTGAAATACATTTGATGCTTTTTGAAATCAACTTTATCTATTTTGAACTAAAAGTGGAAATGGTGTAGTTCCTCATATAATAGAACCTGCTCACCAATTATTTTGACGAAAAAGGTTTTAGCGGCCTTGACTCCCGCCTCGAATAGCCCACCAAAATGGGGGGAGGAAGGAGTATTGAAAAACCATTTTACCTTTTCTGCATGGCAAGACATCTCGAACATTTTATCGAGCTCTTTAGCAGTGGCGACAAAGTTAGTACCTTGATCGCTGATTAGCATGCTGCATCGCCCTCGTCTGGTGAAGAACCTGCGCAACGCAGCAATGCAGGCTTTCATGGTCAAGTCGGAGGCTCTCAATGTATGGCCTTGGTAGCTGCACACACAAATAGGCAGATGTAAGCCTTTTGGGTCTTGCAACCGCGGGACTTGGATAAAGCCACCATAGTCTATTCCAACAATGGAAAATGGGAGGGTAAATTTCCCATTGGTGGTTCCAAAGTCGTGGGTCGAAGTCGACAGCATTTTAAACATTAACCTTATCTCTGACGAATAGCTCAACGAGCTGATAATATCCAGACATTTTGAGATATTAGGTATTAGAGGGTCTGAGGATCAGCATGGAAATTCTTTCGCTGGGCTTCCTCCATAATCAAGTCCGTGAAGCGATGTTGCCTAGGTAATAGCGCGGGGTGCTTATAATCGTAGGCCAGATTCGAGTGAACCAGTCTACCGCCCACCCTGAGGACACAATTCAAATTGGTTGAAGGGTTCGAACGCTCGAAATTCTTTTTTAAGGCGAAGATTGTTGATAGATCTGAGCGAATAAGCAACAATACGTTGTATACAACTGGGGGACGAATATTGCTCTAAGTAAGAATCTATGACTGAAAAGAATGAGAAAGATTCTAAAGAAATAGTTTTTTCTTCTTCAGCCATAATAGGATTATCGAGGGCAATCTCTTTAGAAATGGGCCGTGATTCGGGAGGATCCTTAAGCAAAGTTGGGCCCGCACACCGTAGGGAATGGTCCACGAGTTCCTGGGGACATAGACCCCGTGATGCGCAGTCAGCGGGATTGTGCTCTGAATGCACATGATACCAACACGAAGGAGGTATTTTCTCCTAAATTTCGGCCACTTGGTTTGAGATTTTTTAGAATATGGGGTGATTTTCTGATCCAAGCCAGAGCGACAGTTGAGTTTGAGAATGCATAGGTTTTCTCAACATTGATTTTATCGGAGTAGGTAATTAGAATGTGTTGCATGAGCTTACTAAGAAGGTGCGCGGCGCACAATTCCAACCGAGGGAAACATACTCTCTGGACAGGGGCTACTTTGGACTTGCCTGCTACCAACGAAATCTGAACATCTTTGCTCGTCACAATTCTTAGGTAAACCACTGCGGCGTAGCCACGCTCCAAACTATCGGCAAATCCATGCATCTGGCATGAAACAACTTGTCCTTGAAATAATGCCCTAGGAATTTGAACAGAGGATAAGTCGGGAAGTTCCGCTTTGTACTGATTCCATTTGGCACAGACATTATCGGGAGGATTTTGGTTCCATTCTAGACCAAGTGCTGAATAATATGCTTGGCGAAAAATGTGAGAGGGGCAAGACTTTTCAATTTAGAAGCCTCTCTCACTGGCGTCAAACTGTCACTGTCAAAAGAGCATGAAAACAATGATTGACAGTGGTTTGTTGACAAGACGTTTATACGTGTGGAGACTGGAAACTATTATTTCCTCGGTTTTTTCAAGGTTTTTTCCTAACAATGGTGATTGTGTGTAGTGTGGCTTTTCGTGAAAATAATTCCTATTCACCGGCCGACATGTCTTTCCATAAGTTTTCATCAAATCCTACATTTGTCAAAATTTGTAACAGAAAATCAGAAAGGAAACACGCAAAAAAAGGGAAATCCACGGTTCATCAAGTATACAAAGTAATCCACGTTCAAGTTTAGTTTGCGGAAGCTGTTTGCTTCCCACATTTTCTTTCCAATTCCAAATTTCACCATTCTATGTCGGTCATTGTCATTTTCCATTCACTAAACAAAGATATCTAACCCATCGGTGCTAAACATCCAATACACATTGACATTGACAAGCAAGCAAATGTTGGCGGGAATATGAATGTTTTCATACTATATCATCCATCTCTTTTAATTGAAAACGTCAATTGGAGAGTATGACGCGTTCCGACACTATGTCTAGAATACGAGAATGAATCACTGACAGCATTTCACTTGAGCACGAGAATTTTTACGGGACAAGGTTTCAAGCTTCTGGGTTGAAAGATAATGATTGTTCGAGCCTTTCTTCGGCCGGAATATTGGCAAGAAGCCACGAATGATTGCTAACCCATTTTCTGAGTTCAAACCCACCTTTTTTTAGCAAAGAAATTAGGTCCCGCTGTGGAGCTGGAAACGACATCGTCTTCGTAGACGTTGGAAAGAAGAATTTTTGAACAGAGAAGATGAATACATTTTTCATGTCGAGTTAACTGAACAAGCGTTCTCTGGGCTAAGCAGAGGCGGATTAAGACACTGGTGATGGGCCCGGTGTTTATTTATTTTTTGGGGCCCCTGTTTTTTTAGATAATGAAAGGAATGAAAAAAAATCATCATCAGTCATTATACTAACACCAACATTCAATAATACATAAATTTGGCTTTCACGGAGATTCACGCACGAATCACCTAACCTAGAACTATTGATG